TGGATTCCTCTCTTCTCAGGGCCCCCAAAATATTCTGAACTTCTCAGGCTGCCAGGAAGTGACCGTCTTTACCCGCTGTAATGCCAGGAACCCAGTAAGCAAGATGCCAGGCAGTTTTCTGAAGGGGCTTTATTGGCTCCATAAAGTCAGCCTTAGTTCCATGAGGCTGTTTGGTCTTGTCTGTGTCTGTTACAAAGAACAGATTATCTGCAAATAAATATATTACTGTGAAAATAAGAATACTTAATAAGCATTTCCAAATTCTGATGAGATGAGGTAAGGAAAAAGATAAATGTTTCAGTTTTGCTTATCTTCATCAATTCGTTTAGTCCCTTGTAATTGATTCTTGTTTTGCTTGATCTTGGCAGTTTTGTGAATTGAGTTTTCCAGTAGAGTTATGGAAATTCTTACCCAGTTCAGTAGTATGATTACTTAAAGTTATCAGAAACCTGTGCATATAAGAGTCCTTTTCTTTTTTTTCTTTTTTAAAAGATTTTTATTTATTTATTTAATTGACACAGAGAGAGAGCATAAGCAGGGTGAACAGCAGGCAGAGGGAGAAGCAGGCTCCTGGCTGAGCAGGGAGTCCGATGTGGGGCTCGATCCCAGGACGCTGGGATCATGACCTGAGCTGAAGGCAGACACTTAACCGACTGAGCCACCCAGGGGCCCCAAGAGTCCTTTTCTTGAATCTCAGAAGACAAAGCACTTTTTTTGCAAAATCATCAGAGTAAAACTCTAAATGACAAAAAGACTTAAAAAATGGCCTTGGTTAAAGATCTGATGAGAGTTCATTCTAATGCAAATGACAAGGAACTGTGGTTATTTCTGTGGCACAGATTTTAAGATAACTAGAATTATGACTGATAACATTATACCAGGACACAGCAGATTGCTAGGAATTTTACACGATTTAAATAGTTAAGTATCTCTCCTTTAGAAGATGTACCAGGGAACATGCTGGGAAATCCCACAGTTAGTCTGAGTTCAAAAAAAAAAAGACCTGACTTAGACTTTGGTTAGGGGAAGTTTGTCAAATATCAAATGTTTTAGAACACCTTATTAAATAGGTCACTGTGAAACAAAAACTTCTGTGAATAGAGAAGACTCAGTTTCTTAAGTAATCAAAGACCTGCAAAAGACAACACGAAGCATAGGAAATGGTGTTGGTAAGATACAAAATCTTTGCTTTCTAGGCAGGTTGCTTAAAAGGTAAAAAACAGGGTGCCTGGGTGGCTCAGTTGGTTAAGCGACTGCCTTCAGCTCAGGTCATGATCCTGGAGTCCCTGGATCGAGTCCCGCATCGGGCTCCCTGCTCGGCGGGGAGCCTGCTTCTCCCTCTGACCCTCCCCCCTCTCATGTGCTCTCTCTCTCTCATTCTCTCTGTCTCAAATAAATAAATAAAATCTTTAAAAAAAAAAAAAAGGTAAAAAACAAAAACAAAAAACAAACAAACACAAAAAAACCTTCCACAATCTCTTATCAAGAGCAGACCAATAGTCTTAAGAAGACTGTGTCCTTGGGGCGCCTAGGTGGCTCAGTCGTTAAGTGTCTGGGCTCAGGTCATGATCCCAGGGTCCTGGGATCGAGCCCCGCATCGGGCTCCCTACTTGGTGGGAAGCCTGCTTCTCCCTCTCCCACCCGCCCTGCTTGTGTTCCCTCTCTCACTGTGTCTCTCTCTCTGTCAAATAAATAAATAAATAAAATCTTTAAAAAAAAAAAAGAAAAAGAAAACTGTGTTCTTCTAATAGATGAAAGGTGGTTCAATTTTTTTTTTTTTAAGATTTTATTTATTTATTTGACAGAGACAGCGAGAGAGGGGACACAGCAGGGAGAGTAGGAGAGGGAGAAGCAGGCTTCCCGTGGAGTAGGGAGCCCGATGCAGGGCTCAATCCCAGGACCCTGGGATCAGGCCCTGAGCCAAAGGCAGACATTTAACGACTGAGCCACCCAGGCACCCCAAAATGTGGTTGAATTTTAACTTTGTACAAGCATTCTATTAAAACTTACTTTAAAAACTCTTATAATACGGGGACCTGGCTGGCTCAGTTGGTGGAGCATGCGACTCTTGATCTTGGCGGTGTGAGTTAGAGCCCCATATTGTGTGTAGAGATTGCTTAACAATTAAATCTTTAAGGGGCGCCTGGGTGGCTCAGTCGTTAAGCGTCTGCCTTCGGCTCAGGTCGTGATCCCAGGGTCCTGGGATTGAGCCCCGCATTGGGCTTCCTGCTTCGTGGGAAGCCTGCTTCTCCCTCTCCCACTGCCCCTGCTTGTGTTCCTTCTCTCGCCGTGTCTCTCTCTGTCAAATAAATAAAAGCTTTAAAACAACAACAACCAAAAAAACAATTAAATCTTAAAAAAAAAAACCCTCGTAATAATTTCATACAGTTCTAGCCACCTTGACCACACAAGGTAAGATTCTCTCTCCCTCTCTCCTTCTCAACTTTATCTACTTAGTTTGTCCTTTATTCTCCTCTTTTCATTCTGAAACAACTAGTTATTCTACTTGAGGACAAATTTACTTTTTTCTCCTTAACAAAAATACATCTCCATACCTCATACCTTTTCTTACTAAAAATACATCCTACTTGCTTTGCATAGTTGTTTCCCTTATTACTTGTAGTATGTTGAATGACATATATTAGAATTCTTAACCCATAGAAACCTTAGTTTCTAGTGAAAATGAAGAAGTAAGCAATTATGAACTGTGTCATGCCAGTATTGTGGAGATTGGCAAATTTGTGAATACATTTTTATAATTTCTAGAAGCATACACTTCCTCACAGTACAGTTTTTCAGTGTGGCACAAGACATGTTTACTAACAGACCCCAATATGTTTAGCTCCTCTGTAATAAGAGGCTACAAGCAGGTAAACTTAGGCTTAATATTTAACAATTAATGTTTCAATATTTTATCTTATTTGGAAGTGATCTAGATATTTCATGAATATCCATAACTTAGCAAAACTCTAAGAATATTAAGTTACCAAAGAGATTTAAGAAACTATTTTTAGGTAGACATAAAATCTAATTGTTCATTTATAAACATTTAGCTTACATCTGTTTAATTCATTTATTCTTAGCAATGTTTACATTATTCATGAGAATTTCATCATCTTAAGTTATTTTTCTTAACAAATTTTGTAACAGATAACATGAGCTCATTTGACTAGTAAACCAGGTAGAAAAAGTTGTATGTCTGCATTTAGTGCTGACAACTCTGAAAGTGTGTCTGTTTTTCTGGGTTAGTGCTTGTTGTTTTAGTAAACCTACAATATTTCTATTTACCAAAGATTACCCAAGTCATGTGAATTTGAAAAACATTTGGGTAGTCTCTATTTCTGAGTTTGCCCTCAAACATAATTTATATAAGCACTTTTTTTTTTAAAGCCAATAAAGTAGAGCTCTTTTTACAGAGTAATTTTGGCAATGCCACCCAGAGGTAGAAAAATATCACACATCTAGAACATACATATATAGACATACATAAACATACAGACAAATGCAAACAGAAATCTTATACTCAGTAGTTTATAAAAGAACAATTGAATCCAAATTGTGTTTCAGGCAGATGGAATAAGTTAGGGTTAACCCACTAAGCTAAAGCTTTTTACAAATATTTGTGTAGAAGACTTAAGAATTTTTCATTTGCCCCATTTCCAAATAGCTCCTTTTTCCTTTGCAGCCTCAGAGAGTTGCTTGGGATCTCTGGGTCCCTAGAGAGCCCCCAGTAGAGGAAAGCGGACTGCAGCTCAAGTGGCTGTAGGGAGCTGAGGGGCTGAAGTGGGAAGGGAAAATACGGCTGGGGTGGAGAAGGTTTGGACGAGGTAGGAGTTTGAAGCAGGGGACATAGCAAGGATTCAGGGAATTGAATGGAAGATGGAAGGTGACAAAAGGAAGAACAGAAGCAGTAGGAAGAAGAGGTCCCTGAGGAGCTAATCTAGGGACATCTTAAGTTTCCCAAAGAAGCCAGTTAAGTTCCAACTTATACTTAGTTAAATCATGCAAATAAGAAAGAGGTGGACAGAGCTGGTGGAGCATATAGTCAGCAGGGGTTCAAGAAGGGGGTTTCAGTCAATTGAGAAGTTGAGAAGTTCCCATGGGAGGAGCCAGGATCAAATAGAAGAGAGGCCTTTTAAAAAAAAATAACTCCTGGGGCACCTGCGATGGCTCAGTTGGTTAAGTGTCCCACTTCAGCTCAGGTCGTGATCTCAGGCTCGTGAGATGCGACGGAGCCGTGCATCGGGCTCCCCACTGAGTGTGGAGCCTGCTTAAGATTCTCCCTCTCCCTCTGCCCCTCCTCCTCTCTCTCTCTCAAACAAAATGAAACAAAAACCTATCAGCCTCCAATGTGGCCAAGTTTTGACCACAGAGCTTTTTTAAAAATTCCTTTCAAATATTTTCTCAGGTTTCAGCTGAAACACACAGTAAATTTTCCTGACATTATTCCTTTTTAAAATATTTTTTCCTGTGTCTTTTAAATCAAAGGCATACCTATCAAGTGACTAAAAACTAAAACCAATAAGCCTTTTATGGCTTAATGATGGACACAAAAAGTGTCCCCAAAGGAGGGGACAAAAGATGCAGCCCTCCCAAAATCCAGAACCACTCCCAAAGGTAACCAAAAGAAAGAAAGACCTATACAACCCCTGAGAGCTGGCAAAAGTTGGCAGGACACTAGCCACAAATGGGGTACAGTTCACATTTCTGTCTGGCCACATTTTGGGGCCCCCAACCTGACAGCTGGGCCACCTGCACACGTAAGAACCGACAACCTATATGCCCCAGCAGGCAGAAATGCAGCCCAAGTTCTCAGAACATAAAACAAGACAAACAGAAAAGTAGTAACTATCCACAGGAGGGAAAGGATTGTTAGCCAGTGGGTACCTCAAAGCAAATCCAGGATCCACAGTTTAAAGAATTACATGTGTTTTTCTCCTGCTAAGCTGAATTTGGAAAGGGTGGGACAACATAAAATTTTACCTTCCTCTCTTGTCCAGGCACTAGAGGAAGACCGGGCAGAGCAGACTTCTGCCTGTTTTCCCAGGATCCCATCTGTAGGCTCTGGAACAAGTGGTGGTGTCAAAGCAGGTACTTTCTGGGTCGCCAGAAACTATAGGGGAGGAAAATAATTCCAAGTTCTTGGTGGAGACCCTGTAATAAAAGGCAGATTAATAAGAAAAATAAACAAGTTTATTAACGTGTATACCTCATGTATCCATAGGAGATAACCAGGGGAAAGGAGTAACTGATGCTACCCATTGCTTTCTTCACCTCCCTTCTTGGATCTGGTAGGAGTACGAACCACAGTCAGGCCAGCTGTTGTGATTTAAAGGGGGCACATCTGAAAAACTTGGAAAACTTCTGTTTCCAAGTCTTCATAGGCTTAGCGCTTTTGCACTAACTAAAGAGTTAAGCTCCTTTGTCAGTGTTTCTCCTGATCTGAATCACTTGGACCCTTTGGTGTAGAGCCTGAGGATCTATTTTTTTTTTTTTTTAGATTATTTATTTATGTATTTATTTGAAAGAGAGGGAGAGCACAGAAGGAGAGGGAGAGGGAGAAGCAGACTCCCCACTGAGCAGGGAGCCCGATGCGGGGCTCGATCCCAGGACCCCGGGATCCTGACCTGAGCCAAAGGCAGATGCTTAATGACTGAGCCACCCAGGCGCCCCCTGAGGATCTATTTTTAACAAGCTTTCAGACTGTGTGGATGCAGTTAGTCCTGGAATTAAGGAACCACTGATTTCTGTGATGATGTTAACAACCAACTAGAAGTTGAAAGTTCGTTAAACTGGTTTTATCTTCGCATTGCAAAAGCCAGTCTTACTGAACTCAATAATACCCACCTTTATCTGCCATTTTAGGTAATGCTCTCTTGCCCTGTTAGACTCTTAGAGTTCTGCATTTGAAACAGAAACAAAAACTTGTAATACCTGCCCTTATGAGAATGTAAGAAGTATGTCAGTCTTTCGGATAAACAGAAAAGTAATGGTCTCTCTTCCTTTAAGGAATGTCCATTTTTTCAGGGGCCAATCGGTGTCTTTCATAAGATCCCCAAAGGAATCCATGACCTAAAAATGTCAAGAACCAATAGCTTAAAGAGTTAAAAATGTGGATAGTTATTGATATAAATATATTAATTAGCTAAATCAAACCAGGATAAAATAGATACATAGAATCTGAGAGTTAGGACCTAGAAGATTATTTAGTCTGGGATATAAGGGTGGACCATCAGAATCACTTAGGGAAGGGTTCTTAGTCATCATTACTGCTTCCTTCTTTTCTCTTTTGAGATTATTAGCTTTCTTCCTTACACAAATATTTATTGAGCACCTACTGTGTGTCAGACGTTATGCTAGGCACTGGGTTATAGCAATGAAGAAAACAACTGGGATGTCCACCATTGTGGAGCTCAACACCCAGCAATCTTATTAAGCCACTACTGTTGGAGAGGACAGTGGGCTCCCTTGTTTTGGAATGGAAGGAAGGTTGGGACCCACTACTGTAGTCTAACTTTTTCTCTGTCTTCTCTTGCTTTCTACATTAACCCTTATGACCATTCATCCAGACTTCACTTGAACCCCTCCAGTCATAGGGTGCTTCGGACAAAGGGGCTTTTTCCATTTTGGACAGCTCTACGTATTAGTGATTTCTTCCTTAGACTGTACTGAGCTACAGTCACTCTTGTGCCTTTCACCCATTTGTTGAGTTCTACCACCTGGGAACACACAGAATAAGCATCCTTTCATGTGTAGGAGTTAGATACATGCATCTCACTCCTGTGCCTGACAGTTCTTGTTGCCAGGCTTCTCTTCTCTGTTTTTTCAGGTATTTTTCCCAGAGGATATTTCAGTCTCCTTTACAAGCCTGGTTGCTTTTTCCAGGACATATTCCAGTTTCTCAGAATTCTTCTTAGTGTATGCTTCCCAGAACTAAGCTTGAAACCAGTTATATCCTTTCAGTGTAGAATAAGACATTAGCACTAGGTAGATAGCCATGTCCCACTTGCCACTAACAGTCAGCTAACACCGTGTGTCATTTGTGTGAACTGTTGGTCTCCCCTCTTCTGCACCTACGTGGCCAATTTGTTGAACCTTACTGAAGTTTATGTATATACCTAATATATTCTTCATTTTTAGAGTCAGCCTATAAAGACCTTTTTGGCTTCTTTTATAAGTCTTTTTTTTTTTTTTAAGATTTTATTTATTTATTTATTTGAGAGAGAGCACAGAGGGAGAGTGAGAAGGAGAAGCAGACTCCCCA